AAAGTTGTATTTTTAAAATAAAATAAACTCTTAAAATAAATAAACTCTTGAGATTTGGGGGGTTATTTGTTACTGCACCAAAACCTAGTTTATCCTGACCCAACTGAGTTTTAATGGCTTCATTGTATCTAGTCTGTTACTGTGCGCCAGCCAAACCCTTATGAAGGTGATATAGTGGACTCAAGATCCTAAAAGTCTTCGTCTGTTCTTTACCATCTGTAAATGCTCAAAAATATTTTTTTTTAAACTTTAAAAGAATGAATGAACTTGCAAGAAAGGAGAGGTGGTCTAGTGAGGTAAAGAATGAGGTGGGCAAGACTGGTAGGTAAGTGAGCATGGATACCACTGGATCTGTAGTGGAGATTTACTGGTTATTAAGTGGGTCCTGGGGACTAGACTCAAAGCCTTCAGCAGACGGGGTGAATGGAGAACACTCCTCATAAAGCTGGGACCCAAGAAGGGCCACACTTTCAGGAAAAAGATGTACAAAGTTAGAACAAAACAAAAACCAAAAAGAACATCACACAGGAAACAAGGAAAAAATGTCTTGACTCTGAATGAGGTTTTTTTTTTAAGTCTTTTCTCTTTGGGGAACCTGAGACCATTGTCATTCCTAAAGTGGATTTGGTTCCTGAAACTAAAGTATCTGTGAGGTCCTTTTTTAAAAATACAAGCTGAGAATTGTAATTAAAATAGATCCTGGTATCTACTGTGCCTCGGAGCATTCCACCCCCCCAGAAGCAAACACAAATCCTCCTTGGAGGGTCTGTCAGCCCAGGCATCAAAGAATTTCTACAGATGGAGTTCTTATAGATAGACTCACAATCAAAAGTCAACAGACACATAAGGAAACAAGTCCCAGGAGAGTCAGCAGAAACAACAAAAACCTCAGACTGTGGTCTTATCAAACACAGATACAGTGTATTTACAGAAATAAAAGAGAAAATCTGAGTAGGCAAATTTGGAAAAAAAAGAACAAGGACAAACTTTAAAAATGAACTGTAATCAATAAAATAGAAAAACTTAGTGAAAGATTATTCAGCCACCAAATTGACAAAGGTCAGTAGGAGGTTCTGATTAACCTTCAGAGGGACCAGACACACAGATGCCACCTAGATGAATCAAAGTTCACTTATCTGTAGGATATAGAAGGAAGTCAACACAATCAGGTTATTCAGCTAAAAAACCAGCAATGTCATCCAATAGCAGAGTGCAAGGCTGGAGCTAAAGTGAGGCAAGCAAGTTGCCTATGGTCAGCACTTGCACGAACCTGGAAGTGAGTGGTGGCTTAAATTTGGCACCTTAGGCACCTTACTTACCTCCCCTAGTCCCAGCCCTGACACAGGGAGGTCTAAGTTCTCTGTTTCCCAAAAGGGACTCACAGGTAGACACACAGTTGCAGACGATTAAGTCTAAATGAGAGAGTGACATCAGATCTTCGGAAATCTCAACTGCTCCCCTCCAAGCCCAATGTTACATTCAGAATTTGGGGCAGTTCTGCATGTTGGTTAGCTTGGATTGTGCCAAGGAGCACCTCATCTGAAGCAAGGGGCATCTCAACAGTCTTGTTGGTATGCAATATACAGTATGATTACAGAATGCCATAGTGCACAGTATACGAAGTAGAATGTACAGGAACAATATATGGTGCAGAATACTCCAAAACTGAGTAGGCTTTTATCACCCTCAGTTTCCTCAGGTTGAGGTTCAAGGACTTTCTTGAACTTTGAGCTGCATGACTAAATCAGAACAAGGGTAAGACAGCCCAGCATCTCTGGGAGTCTTGATAACAGGCTGTGAGAACAGCTATAAGGCCCATGTGAAAAGTATTAATCAGCAGAAAAGAGAACTGAAGAAAGAAGTAGTGAACTAGAAGATATTATACAAGATGCCACATGGAGAGATAAAGAGATGGAAAATACCAAATAGAGATTAAGATATGAAGGATAGAATGAGAAGCGAAATGGGGGGTAATAGGAATTCTCCTCTCTAGAGAGAAGATCTAGAAGAGAGAGGATATTTAAAAATATAATGGTGGAGAATGATCCAGAAATGATGGAATACACCAGTCACAGATTCAGGAAGACAAGTAAATCCTAAGCAGGATAAATGGAAAGAAATCTGCAACTGGATACAGCACAGTAAAAAACAGAACACTAAAGATAAAATGAAAATCTTAAAAGCAGCCAGAGATAAAAGATTACAGATAGTGCCTAACTTATGATGGTTTGACTTAACAATTTTCCAACCTTTTATGGGTTTATCCAGACATAACCCAGTCATAAGTTGAGGAGCTCCTTATGACTTATGATGGAGTTATGGTTTCTACTGAATGTGTACTGCTTTTGTACCAGCTTAAAGTCAAAAAATCCTAAATTGAAGCATTACTAAGTTGCAGATTGTCTGCTGTGTTGCCAGCATTAAATCCATTTTCAACTTACAATATTTTTGGCTCACATGGGTTTATGGAAATGTAACCCTATTGTAAGTCGAAGAGAATCTGTAATTTCAAAAAAGTGTTAAAAGAAACTGAGATACATTAAAATACTAAAGAGTTTATTTGAGCATTTAGTGATTCGAGAATCAGGCAGCTCCAAATCACAAGTGCTTCAGGGACTCCAATGAAGAGGCTTAAGGGAAAGGCTTTTATAACCTGAATGTGGAAGCGAGACAAAGAAAATATTTGATTGGTTAACATGGAACAGTAGCCTTGTTTGGATCATTCCAGTGAACAGCTTCTAGTTAGAGGTTGGTTGGTGGTTTCTGATTGGTTGAGCATAAGTAATGTAAAGTCCCTAGTTAGAGGTTAGTTGGCAGTTTCTGATTGGCTTAGAATATGACCATTTACACTGACTTAGGTTTCAATTTGGTTATGTAGGAATTCAGGGCACTGGAGCTGCCTCAGTCTAATGGCCTCCCAATTAATTTTTTTTTTTTTTAACAGAAGTAACAGTTATAATGACAGCTAACTTCTTGACAGAAATATGTGTTTTAAAATGTTGCCATTCTTGGCTATTTGTGTCAGGCTAGATTTGGCTCTTGCACTGCCATAATTTGCTGACTCCAGTTCTATAACATTATTGCTAATGGCTGCATTGTATTCTGTGATGTAGATATACCCCAGAGCTTATTTAACCAATCTCTAATTTGGATTGTTTCTAGTTTTTCAATTACAAACTGTACTCCAATAAACAACCTTGTAATAAATAAGTTTGCACTTTTGGAACTTCTCCTTAGGATAAATTCTTAAAAGTAGAGTTATTGTGGCAGTTGGAAGGCATTAACTAAGAAAATTAAGATACGGAGATGGCAAATAAGTATATGAAATGATGCTCAATATCATGTGTCCTTAGGGAATTGCAACTTAAGATAACAATGAGCTAAAATTGTTAAATGGCTAAAATCTAGAACACTGACAACACCAAATGCTGGTGACAATGTGGAGCAACAGGAACTCCCATTCATTGTTGATGAGAATGCAGAATGGTACAGCCACTTTGGAAGACAATCTGGCAGTTAGAAAGGTGAATGTAGACTTACCACACAACCCAGCAATTGCACTCCTAAGTATTTACCCAAATGAGTTGAAAACTTCTGTCCACAAAAAAGCCCGCGCGCAGATGTTTATAGCTTCTTTATTCACAATTTCCCCAAACTGGAATCAATCACGATGTCCTTCAGTAGGTGAATGGGTAAACAGACTGTGGTATATCCATACAGTGGAACACAATGTTAAGTGCTAAATGAGCTATCAAGCTATAAAAAGACATGTAGGAACTGTAAATGCATATTGCTAACTGAAAGAAGCCAGTCTAAAAGGATACAGACTGTATGATTCCAACTGTATGACATTCTGGAAAAAGTAAAACTAAGAGAGTGTAAAAAGATCAGTGGTTGCTTGGAGTTTGGGGGGAAGGAGGGTGGGAAGCCTGAACAGGTAGAACAGAGAGGATTTTTAGGGTATTGAAACTGTTCTGTATGATACTATAATGGTGGGTACATGACTATGTACTTGTATTAAAAAAAGTGAACCCTAATGTAAACTATGAGCTTTAGTTAATAAGTATGGACTTCAGTGAATAATTATCATGTATTTGTTCATCAGTTGCAACAAGCATACCACACTAAATGCAAAATGTTAATAATAGGAGAAATGTTGGGCCAAGGGAGGAAAGAGGCTATTTGTGAACCCTCTATACTTTCTCCTTAATTTTTAGACATAAAACTGCCCTAAAAATAAAGTGTATTTAAAATTTTTGTTATAAAATTAATATACACAAAGAAAGTAGTTTATACTCATTATAAAGGTTCTCAAGAACACAGAAATATAAACTTAGAAAATGAAACCACCACCACCACCTCTAGAGGTGCCCACTTTTAATAATGAGGTGCATACTGTCCAGATTTTTCTTACATATAAAATGTATATGCATATATTTTTTCCCATTAAACAGAACCGTATTATAAATATTGTTTGCATTTTGCTTTTTCTAAAACCTAGCTATATATTATAACCATTTTTCCGTATCAGTACATGTAGATGTACTTTTTTCTAACTGCACATTATTCCATTGTATATATAGTTCTATCATAATTAATTTTCCAAATTTCTTATAATTGGACATTTAGATTATTCCCAAGTTTTGTTATGATGAACTAGGTTGTAGTGAAAATCCTTATACCTCTATCTTTTGGGGTTTGTTGTTACCAATTTCCATATTGCCCTTCTGGGAGTTTGTTCAAATTTATACTCCCCTTAGCAGTGTTTATGTGCTGGTTTTCCAACATCCTTGCCAACTGTGAATGTTATTTTTTTAAATCCTAGTAATTTCAATAGGAGAAAATGGTCTTTCATTTAGTGAACATTAACAGTGGTGATGAAATTGGACTTTCTGTGTAAGTTGCCTGAATAATTTCCATTAGAACATCGAGAAGCTTTCCAGGTGTTTTCCGTATTTCCTGTAGTCTAATCACCCTTCCCTGCCTTTCATGTTTTTCAGTTACGACAGTGGCCTGAATCATACACAAAGAAATTTGAGCACAGAATCTATCCTATCACATTTTCTGTTGGAAACCCTCAGGAATGGAAGAAATTATTCAAACCCTGTGCTGCCCAAAGACTCTTTCTTCCGGTAGGAACACCTGTTTTTGATAAGGTGTAGCTTGAGAGAGACTTGGTCTTGGAAACATTGTGAAATTAACTGAGATGTGTTTAGAGATGTTAACTTACAGCTGAAAATGTGTTTCTCTTGGATCCTGGGTTGATGCTGTTAGTCTGCAGTGTGTAGAGGGAGGGTCTCTATATTCCAGAGGTTGTCTTCTCCAAAGACTGAGGGTCTGAGAACATCCAAAGCATGTCTGGTATCATGTGACTTTGTGATCACTGCTCTACTATTTACAATCTGTGTGAACCTCAGTAAATCCCCGCATTCTGTAAGCCCCAGTTTCATTTGTAGACTTGAGATGCCGGGGACCAGCCCCAGCACAGAGATTGTAAAGGTCCCCACTGGTAAGGGATCCCCCAAAAGGGAGGAAGGGCAGCGTCGGCGATGGAGCGGACAGCAAACATACAGACTCAAAGGATCTGTTGAATGCTGGGACAACAAACACACAGACTCAAGGGATCTGCTGAATGCTGACAATTTATTGAAGCAAGCATCAGACTTTTATACTTTTCTTTCTTATTTGCTACATAATCATAAAATAATCAATGAACAATATCATAATAT